TGATGGCTCTCTGTGGAGCAATCCAGTCAGTCCCATTCCTCACTTTATTACAGGAAGCCAGCAAATGTATTTCCCTCTGATGTCCATCCAAATTCCTCTCAAAATCAATTTTGTCTCTGTTTCCGCCATCCTCATTAGCAACAAGTCATTACAGAGCACTGTTTAAAAATGTTCTTCCTCAAATCCACCAACTTCTCATAGAATCCCCACAGCACAGAAGAGGCCATTCAGCCCGCCACTGACCCTCTGAAGAGAATCTCACCCTATCCCTGCATTTACCATGGCTAATTCACCTAAGCTGCACATCTTTGGCCCGTGGAAGGAAACGGGAGCACCTGACAGAAACCTACACAAACTTGGGGAAAACGTGCAAACTCCACACAGTCACTCAAGGTTGGAGTCAAATCTGGGTCCCTGGCACAGTGAGGTAGCAGTACTAACCACTGTGCGCCCCCGCCCAAAACCTTAAATCAGAGTCCCATTGATTTTGTACCATCAGTTAAAGGTATAAATGTTTATTTACTCAAAGGACTTCAGTCACTGTAAATCAAATAAAAACAGAAAGTGCTGGTGAAATTCAGCAGATCTGGCAGCATTCATGGAGAGAGAAACAATATTAATACTTGAAGTCCTATACGATTTCTTCAGAAACATGTTTAAATGCTTTTCTTTGTTTAACTTTATAATCATTTTGTTCACCTCTAAATTATGCATCAGTTTCCTTCATTCGAAGGTAGCCAACTTTTTCCAATGGAACTTTCGTAAGTCATAAGCTTATTGCTCTTTTACCACTTGGAATCATTTTAGTGCCGTTGTTTTCTGGAACATGTGATGTAACTATCTGCATCAGGTGGAGTCGGGTACATGACATCAGCAAATATTATTACATTTATCTTCTTAAGGTTCGGTCCCCTGTAGGTGAGAATGTTTGTTCCTGGCTTCGTATTGTTAGATGGTTGGGAGGCCCAGAAAGCCACGTGAAGAAGGGGAACTGAAAAGGGTAACTGAAGATGGGAGGAACTTTGATTTAATCAATAATTACAACAATAACCTGCATTTATAAAGCACCTTTAAAACAGTAAACTGTATCAAGGTGCTTAACAGGAACAATTATCAAACAAAATTTGACATCAGCCCACATAAAGAGATATTAGTAAAATGACCAAAAGCTGTTTTACAAAGTAGTTTTAAGGTATATCTAGAGAAGTAAAGAGATTTATGGAGTGAATTCTGGAGTACAGGTTTCAGGTAGACAATGGCAGAACAATTAACATTGGGAACACAGCAAGAGGCCAGAGTTGGACAGCATAGAGATAGAATCATACAATTATGACAAAACAAAAGGAAATAATTCAAGTCACACCTCTATCAAGTCTCTACAAGGGAAACTCATTAAGCCCCACTCACTCATCCTGTCCTCCTGTTCATGCACCTTTTTTCTCTTCAGTTGCTTATTCATTTCCATCTAGAAGGCTCTAAATGTATTTGCCTTCAACACAATCTTAGATAGTGCATTCTGGATGGCATTCAAATGAAGCAGATTACAAAGTTCGGGATGGGTAAAACTGTGGGGTGATTTAAAAACAAAGAGAAGAAATTTAAATTGGAGGCATCAGTGGAACAGCATTCAGTCTAAGGTCTGTGGGGACGTGGCTAATGGGTGAACAATATTTGTTACAAGTCAGGATACAAGTAACAGAAGTTTGAATATCGAACAAAATTTGATGTGCAAGTATTAAAACAAAACTTTAATAACTTTTAAAAATGCACTGTTGCACTTTGTCACAGCTCAAGCTCTCCAAGTGTTTTACAGTTAATGAAATACTTTTGGAAGTGCAGTCAATTTTTTAATGTCTGTTAACATTACATTAATAGATAAAAATTTACTGATATGTTTTCTTAGATCTTAAATATTCCTACTGTGCAAAATATTTGTGGGGAAACATTGTATGGAACTTCTGGAGTCCAACTTCCTGAGTGAAAAGAAGAATATTGATACAATAGATACATTTATACTATACATATATATATATAGATACCTTAAGATAGCAGGACAGATAGTATAAAGTGGTTAAGAAGGCATATGGGATACTGGCCTTTATTAGCCGAGGCATAGAGTTTAAGAGCAGGAAGGTGATGTTGACATTGTATAAAAACTCAGTTAGGCCACACCTAGAGTATTGTGTGCAGTTCTGGAATCCACATTATAAGACAAGATCAGAAGTCACATGGCACCAGGTTATAGTCCAACAGGCCTGAAAGCTTGTGATTTCAAATAAACCTGTTGGATTATAACCGTTGTGTAACTTCTGACCTTGTCCAACCCAGTCCAACACCGGCACCTCCACATCAGATTATAGAAAGGATGTGATTGCACTGTAGAGGGTGCAGAGGAGATTTACCAGGATGTTGCTTGGGCTGGAGTGTTTTAGTTATGGAGATAGTTTGGATAAATTGTGTTTGTCTTGGAGCAGAGTAGGCTGAGGGGGGAGTAACTGAAATGTAAAAAATTATGTGGGGCGTGGATAGAGTAGACAGGAAGGAACTTGTTCCCTTGGTGGAGGGACCGATGACCAGGGGGTGTAGAATAAAGGAAGGGGCAGGAGGTTTAGAGAGATGTAAGGAAGAATTTTTTTTTTACACTCAAAAGGTGGTGGGAATCTGGAAATAACTGTCTACAAGCCAGTGAAGGCAGAAACCCTCATAATATTTTAAGAAGTATTTAGATGGACACTTGCAATGCCGAGGCATAAAAAGCTATGGCCCATGTTCTGGAAAATGGGATTAGAATAGTAAGGTCATTGGTTTTGACCAGCACAGGCTCAATGGGCTGAAGAACCTTTTTCTGCAGACCTCTATGATTTTATATATAACTGGGTCAAAATCCTGAACTCCTCCCCTAATGGCATAATGGATCTACCTACATCAAATGGACTGCAGCATTTCTAGAAGACAATTCACTACCACCTTCTCAAGGGCGGCTAAGAATGGACAATAAGCAGCGACCCAATCTACAACATCCACACACATTTAAATGTTTCTAAACTTGCTAGATGGGTTTACTTATTAATGTACCGTTTAAAAATCAGTATTATGAAGACAGGTTAAGTAAAATATTAAAAATGTGAAATGTAGTAGAAAAAATGTTCTGTCACCTGAGGTAACCTGTTGGTAATGATTCACAGACTTGCAACAATCTTGTGTCCCTTTGACCACAATTTTGACATTTTTAAAAAAATCTGCTGATTCACTGTTTAAATTTCAGTTGAATGTCTCATCCTTTACCAAATACAACTTTAAACAAGTTATGTTGTCACAATGTTTACTATTTAGATTACTTACCTCGTAACTAACTTTTGTCCAAATGTCCACACAAAGATGTAATTAAATATTGGATACAAGATCATTGTCTTTTGTTAGAACTGTGTCAGTACATCCCATTTCCTTTACTGCCTAGCTTTCCCAAACATCTAATTTCATTTTTATTTCCCCTTGCTCTGAATTCTGAAGAAATACTGCACTGTTGGAGACTGTGTCTTTCAGTTGAGACATTAAATCAAGACCCTGTGTGAGCTCTCACATGAACATACAAACAAGCCTAGACTATTCAAACTATAGCAGGAAGTACATTGTGTCCTCGTCACTATTTACCCCTGAGTTTGCCTTACTAAGATTGCTGATTGTCATATTTCTGTTTGTGGGTCTTGCTACTCATACATTGACTACAATTTTCTGCAACAGCAGCATTTCAAACAAGTCTTTATTTGGCTGTGACATTGTAATGGTCTCTAAAATAATGCTACATAAGTGCAATTCTCTTTCAAATAGGACAGTCAATTTAAACCTAGGACAGTACCCAGGAGGGCAGTAAACTGCAGGCAAGCTACAGAGTTTGTGGTAGTGAAAAAGACAATGGCTTGACTTTCCACTTTTTGACCGGGGGAAATGGATGCTACCGCTGACAGTACAAATAATAGAGATGTTGATGAAGAGGTACAGCTGGGTATCACCAGTACCCAGCTAGCTAAACACTAGCATCTATCTCAGATTGTGGAAATGTTCCCACGTATGTCTTGGACACAAAAAGTGGGACAAACTCAACTCAGCCAATTACCGCCCAATCAGTCTACTCTTGACCATCAGTAAAAGTGATGGAAAGTGTCATCAACAGTGCTATCAAGCAGCACCTGCTCAGCAATAACCTGTTCACTGTCGTCCAGTTGGGTTCTTGCAGTGCCTGTCAGCTCCTGATCTCATTATAGCCCTGATTCAAACATAGACAAAAGAGCTGAATTCCAGAGGTGAGGTGAGAATGAGAGCCCTTGACATCAAGGCCTCATTTGACAGCATGTGGTATCAGGGATAGCACAGCTGGAGTCATGGAAGTCAGGGGGATCTCTCTCTCCAGAGTCATACCTGTCACATAGGAAGATGGTTGTAGTTATTAGAGGTCAGTCATCTTTGCAGCATTTCCTCAGGGGAGATATTTTTAATCAAGCTTTTCAGAAGGATACTGTTGAACTTGAGAGAGTGCAGAAAAGATTTACAAGGATGTTGCTGGGACTGGAGTGTGTGATTTATAGTGAGGGGCTGAATAGACTATGGCTATTTTCCCTGGAGCATTGGAGGCTGAGGGGTGACCATGTAGATGTTTATAAAATCATGAGGGGCATGGATAGGATAAATAGACAATGTCTTTTCCCCAGGGTGGGGGAGTCCAAAAGTAGAGGGCATAGGTTTAAGGTGAGATTTAAAAAGGACCTGAGGAGTAACCTTTTCACATGGAGGATGGTGCATGTATGGAATGAGCTGCCAGATGAAATGGTGGAGGCTGGTACAATTACAATATTTAAAAGGTATCTGGATGGGTATATGAACAGGAAGGATTTAGAGGGATATGAGCCAAACGCTAGCAAATGGTACTAGATCAGAATAAGATATCTGGTTGTTGATGAGTTGGACCTAAGGGTCTGTTTCCGTGCTGTATGACTCTATAATTTTATCTGGCTCAGAGGTAGGGACACTACCACTGCATCACAAGAACCCCAGGTTCCTCAGGGTAGTATTGTAGGCTACAGCCATTCCAGCTGCTTCATCAGTGACCTTCCTTCCATCATAAGGTCAGAGGTGGGGCTATTCACCGATCATTGCACAATATACCGCACCCTTCACAACTTTTCAGACACTGAAGCAGTCCATGTTGGAATGCAGCATGACTGAACAATATCCAGGCTTAGGCTGAAAAGTGGCAAGTTATATTTGTGCCACACAAATGCATGGCAATAACTATCTCCAATAAGAAATAACTACTGCCCTTGGTGGCATTACCATCCACTAGTATTGACATCCTGGAGATTACCATTGGCCAGAAATTCAACTGGATTAGCTCTATAAATACAAGAGCAAATTAATGGTTAGGAATTCTGCAGTGAGTGACTCTGTTCTCACTCCCCAAAGTCTGCCCACCATCTGCAAGGCTCAAGCGAGGTGTGATGGAATACTCCCACCTGCCTGGATGACTACAGCTCCAATAACACTCAAGAAGCTTGACATGATCCAGGACATAGCAGCCCACTTGATTTGCACCACAAACCTCTACTCCCTCCACCATCATCACTCGGCAGCAGCACTGTTTCCTATGTATAAGATGCACTGCAGAAATTTGCTACAGATCCTTAGAAAGCACATTCCAAACCCACGATCACTTCCACTTCAAAGGACAAGGGCATCAGATACATGGAAACACCACCACTTGCAAGTTCCCCTCCAAGCCACTCACCATTCCTGACTTAAAAATATATCACTAGTCTTTCACTGTTGCTGGGTGAAAATTGTCAAATTCCCTGCCTAATGGCACTGTGAATCTACCTACAGCACCTAAGATCATAAGATATTGGAGCACAATCAGACCAAGGAGACAGGATGGTGCCATCATGCACCCAGCCAGAGAAGGAACCACACAAGGGCCCTTCAGAAGTCTCCTCTCAGAAGCTGAGCCTTCCACCTCCACTAAGGTGCCCTTCCGACTTATGAAAGTTGGAGACTCTCAGTTTGTCTTTCCATGTAAGCATAAATACTTATGGGATACCCTGACCAAATCCCAACGGTCTACACACTGCATAACCAGGAAGGCACCCCATGGCTGCAGAGCCGGGGACTGCACTGAGAGGTAGCAGAGAAAGATGAAAGATAACCTCTGGAGGGCATGTTGGTAGTACAGGTGACTTTGCCCTATATATCAATGCTTATGTTGTAATAAACGTTAATGGTTTTACACATCTGTTTGCTGAAGTCTCTGTCCCGTCCAAATGTAACTGTGCCACCATGACAAACAATGTACTATGAAGTGATGTCTGTATTGAGAGTTTACTGCTGTATGTGGAAGCACAGTGTTCAAGGTGTACACAAGGCAATGTGTTCTGCCGGCATCACTGCCCCTCTTGTCAAGTATTGCTAATCTTTCCTTGGCCTGGGCACAAAAGTGTTGGTTTGCATGAAGTAGTCATCAATGCCTGGGGCAGGAAGGTGCATGTGGAGCCAATACATTAGGGTAACAAGGAATTGGGGGTCTGCCAGTCTGTGTGTAATGAGTCAGTGGACTGGAAATGTTAACTCCGCTTTCTGTCCACAGATGGTGCCAGACCTGCTGAATTTCTGCAACAATTTGTGTTTCTTTCAGATTTCTAGCATCTGCAGTGCTTTGTTTTATTTCTGTCTTTAATGTTGTTGTCCTTTGAAGGATCTCATCGGGAGGTCTCTCTTTCAAGTAGGGACACTTACTCTGTTCACTGTGTGTGGTTGTGGCATGGCCAGTTTGTTTGTCGCATGGCCAGTTTGTTTGTCAGGATGCATTTTGATTTCCAGCAAGATCAAAACTGACAGCAAGTTCTCTTTGGGCAGTAGTTTCCAGCATCTGGCTCTATGTATTGGCAAGCCTTTTCCTGATAACCCCCTCCAGATTTCAAACATCTCCTGGTCCCCTCCCAACCTGTCTGTATGAGCCTGCAACTACTCACATTTCTCCCCCAAGCCCCTGATGTTTGATGACTATGGTCATACACTGTTCCCCTCCAATGCCCAGGTACTCTTCAACAAAGATGAACCCCTTACCCATGTAACCCCACTCATATTATCATATTCCCCTTATAAATACAGTTGCCCTCCACAATCATTATTTCCACCACACCCCACCCCAGCCTCACACTCCCCACACATAGCTTCCCAAGTCTCCTTCCCCCATCATCTGCAGAGATATGGACACCCTGACTGAGAACATGACAACCAACCACCTGATTGTGGCTAATCCCCTAGATTTATACAGAGACTGCCCTTGACTTGTGCTGTCATCATTGACAGACAGGTACCTCCATGGACTTCAGTGAGAATTACCCTCCCATGACTGTGATACATGGCTGCTTGCTTGCTGCAAATCAGCATATTTCCTGCATAAGCTGCTGGCACATAGTGAAGGGGACAGATTGATGCAGCATGGTATTCTACTCCCTTAACTGACAGCAAGGCAAGCTGCTTGGTTGCATTACTGCACTAATAGGCAAGGCAGCACAGGTATGCAATGAAAACGCACGTATGCGCTTGGAGAGCTAATGAGCATCTCTGAGTCACAACCTCGTTGGATCGGTCAGCTGGGTGCCTATCCAGGAGCAGCAAGTGTCCCTACTGCAGTTTCAATTATTGTTAACAGCTCATCCCAAAGCACAGGTCTCAAAGTCCTAAGGGGTATGTGTGGCTGGTCCCTATAGATTGTACTTGTAAATATTGTTTCTTTGCAGCCAGCAACGAGCTGAAGTCACGAGCTACCTGGTCTGACTTCAATGTGGAGAATTCATGGCATCTACATTGTGCATGGTGGATAGTAAGATGGAAAACTACATATTAACTAGGTGAGATATGCAGTTAATAAGGGTATTACAGAGCAACAGTCCCTCTTAATAGGCAAATTATTACTGCTCAACGAGAATCTCATTAAAATGCAGTGACCTATTCCAGGATCAATAGAGAATCATGCGAAAAGTCGAGTGAGGCCTACCACATGCCCCACATTGTTCAGGCTCCTCCAAGATTCCAGCTGTAGTTTTTATTTGGCTAGTCCAGTTAAAATTCTTGTCAGGGGTAATTCTCAGGATGTTACGGGATTTGATATGTAATGCCATTGAATGTTAGGAGAAGGTGATTAGATTTTTCTTTCTTGAGAGATAGACTGTCTAGTACTTCTATGATACGAATACTAATTGGGACTTTCAGCACAAGTCTGGACGTTGACAAGTTCTCACTGCATCTGGGCAGGGACTACTTAATCATCTGAAGATTTGCAAAAGAATACTACAATTAGCAGTGATTATTTCTACTTCTGATCTTGTATCCTGTACAGGAAACCAACATTCTCCAGTATTAAATAAACTGTACAAAGGATTGTGCCAATTAAAGAAAACAAAAAATAGATTTGGAAAAGTAGTCATGCTTCTTCCCTCCCTAGCTCATAATTCTTGTGGCTAAGACATGGGAAGCATAGAGATGCATAGAATACAGTGGGATTTATTAATGCAGACTGGTATGCACCATTCTGGTTATGCAGTTTTATATTTTTTGCAAACTCCATATCTGGAAAAGTAAAGTTTGAATTGGATGTGTTCAACTAGGACAGGCAAAAATGCAACAGAAAGCAGGATATTTGATTTCAGATAATCTTTAATTTTATTCAGCAAAAACTCAGTTGTTATCATCTACTAATTCCAAATGCAATCATTTTCACACTCTTTCAAAAATACGGCAAATACAGCATGTTCTTTCAAACTGAATTCTTCATTGTGGAAGATCTGCTGTCTAGTATTCAACTTCTGAGTCATCATTCAGCCATATTAGAACTTTTCTTCTGTACAACTTTTAGCTCTTGCTTATAAAGGCACAAACAGAGAATCCCACAATAAGTTAAACCAATTCTAAAATTGTTCTCACTTGTTCCTACTTGGAGATTCCAGAGATTGCTGGACTGGTTGCAGCACAAAACAATTTTTTTTAACTGAAGACACCAAATTACACAGATCCAAAAAAACATATAATCGAAAACAAATCACCACAGGATAAAAATAATTAATAAACATTCTGATGTCAGTAAATTCCTAGTTTTCCTCCAGTGCTACGCTCCAGTATTTTACCATTATTTCAATATTTCAGGTGATTAACTGGATGCTTACAATTATTGCAAGTGTATTTAGTGCTTTCGACAGTGCAATTTGAGTTCAGATTTACACTAATGAATTCTTTTTCAGCTTGTGAATTTTCACAGTTATCTGTAGAAATAAAATTAAAATCAAAGATATATATTCATAAAAAAAATACTGTGGTTGTTGGACATCATTAAGTATCCTTTTGTTTGAGCATTAAAAATAAAAAAATTATTTTGCAGTGAAATATATTCAATAAAATCCTATTGTGTCAACACTGTGAATTACATTAATTAACCATACACTGATAAAATGCAAAGGATCTCATTAAAATTACACGCACAAATACCAAAACATGTCCTCACTTGGTCTCCAGTCTTTTACATAAAAACCCTATCATTGTTTTGACTGATGTTGAGGCAGATGTTTGAGAATTTAAACTTTTACACACATTCAGATATAAAACTGTGGACCGAAGGAGCATTTTCCAAATGCATGGCTGGACACAAACTTAAGGTAATGGCTTAACTAACTGTCAAGGGTCTTAGTAAAAAACTTTACAGTAATACATTGTTAGAATATTCACTGGAGCACAATAGTGCTGCTTTTTATATACTTAATCCATATACGGATATCTCCATTTAGTCAAGGGAACATGAGTCTCTTTTACAGATTGTGGTGATGTCCAACGGAGGATATAATGGGGACCTCCAGCCTTGTCATTGGTTCCTTGGAGAAAGGAAAAGAGCTACACAGTTAATGGGATTCTTAATTTGTTTAATCAAAATTGAGATTTACTGAATTATCAGGAAATCCTCTCCATTTTCAAAGTGTTGATGAAGTTACAAAACACTTGTACTGGTCATGTAATGCTAATACAAAATTCTATTTCAGTTTTCCTCGTGTTCTGATTGGCATAACTTAAAAAAACAAGTATTTTTCAAATAATCAATTGCAGACAGGTCTTTAGATCTATGCAATTACTTGGATGTGATTCTTTTTAAAAATCAAGTATTACAGCAAACTTTGTTTTAACCACTATCTTATCAACCAGCACCTTTGATAAACCAGCAGAAATAATTTACCTCAAATACCACAATCTGCAAGTATTTATGCTGTAAATAAGTCATGTGTATATCCCCTGCATTATGTTTCTATTACTTACTATGTGTGATTTTACATTGACTTCAGGAGGTGTGCTGATGTTTTTACATAGATTTTCTGAGAAATGTTGATGTCTTGAAGCTTTGCTTCATCAGGGTTTACTGTGGTTATGCGTACCTCTCGTTTATCCAAAATATTTGCTCAACTGGCACACTCCCATGCTGTATGACTATGACTACTGGTCCCATTGGTGCCGATGAATAAAAAGTTTGCTGTACTAACTTTTTACACTGGATGAGATGTGCATAGGAAAGAGCCTTCCAATAAACAATAAGCAAGAATTTGACTTTTTTCTCCCCTAGTATGTAAAGATTGAGTACCTCAAGTTAAATTCACCTTAACCAATCACCCAGATGTAACATAAAGAGACAACAGTGTACCTGCAGTCAAGCTGGCAACCTTAAGATGATTCAATGTAAAAGAGTCAATCAACAACAGAAAATTCATTTTTCATTTTAATTGCTAAAATTAAAGCACTGTACAGGATTTAAAACCATAAATGGACATGTTGATAAATAAATATGACACCTGAAAGGGATTTGGAATAAATGGACACAGGCTCTATAATTATACAACAGAAATATGACTCAGTATAACATTATTAACAAAAAGCACCTTTCAAACTCAATCCACTTACCAGAGATACGAGCTCCTCCAAATGGCTGCTGTCCCACAACAGAACCAGTTGACTTGTCATTGATGTAGAAGTTTCCAGCAGAATACCGTAGGATTTTACTTGCTTCAGCTATAACATTTCTGAAATAAGCCATGTTTTAAAATGAAAAAAAAATCAACTGAAGCAGAGTCATTCTTAAGGGGAGGTATTCTTTTGAACTTTGGGTAATTGTATGTCGCTACAAATTAAAATTGGGCCAGATGCATATAACATACTATGGATAAGATATTGCCTATTATAGTACATATATTCCAAGGTGTGTTAGCTACCTGAATCTGGGATTTATCATGGTTTGACATCATATCACCATAAGCAGACTCATTATAGCATGACACACACCCTGCAAATCATATGGAATGGTGTTGTTGCTTAACTCTAATGTTCATACATACAAAATTAATTGCAAATTGCTCTCTTCAGAATTACCCATGTTTGAAATATACAAATAAAATAACAGAAATATAATGTTGAAATTTATTAAATGGTCGCATTTCTATCAAATGAAAAAATGCCTTAATAAAACATCTGCATGTGTCCCAAGTCACTGATTCCTTCATAGCTTTTCCTTATAGTAGATGCCAAGCAGAAAGACAAACAGAAGTACAAGCATCCCATCACTGTTTCTTTGTAGTTGTAATTGGCCACCAACAGTTTCACCAAAGATTCCACATAAATTCATCTCTCCAATTTTCCTTTTCTATTGATCAATGACAAAGAAACCTGCAAATTACAGACACCTTAGGAACTGGCACTGGCCATCTTCTTTTGCAGTTATCTTTATTTCCAAATTGGTCACTGTATGTTCCCAACTGTCTTGAAGAAGCACCTGAAATTATGATGCACCTAATTAACTGCAGAATGCTCAGAATCCCTCTCCCACACACCAATTCACTTAACCATTCTGCAGTCTAGATACCAGTATCATTTCACATATGGAGAAAGAAATAAGAGGAAACGTTGGTATTGATCAACGACATGGTTACAGACATAGAAAGGTAAGTGTGCTTGAGAGTTCAATGAGGATTTCTATTTGGTTAGCAGCAAGAAACAGAACATGTGTTTTACACTGCTGCATGTAAACTATAGGCCAATGTCCAAAAGGAAGAGCAAATACCTGGAAGAGTAAAAGGAATAAATTTAGAAACACAGAATATAGGAGCACGTATAGACGATTCAGCCCTGCCAACCTGTGCTGCCATTCAATATAATCATGGTTGATCATCCAACTGAGTACCCTGTTACCGCTTTCTACCCATGTGCTTTGATCCTTTTAGCCTTAGGAACTATATTTCTCTCCTTGAAAAATTCAATGTTTTGGCCTCCACTGCTATATGACGCAGAGAAGTCCACAGGCTCACTGTGCTCTGGATGAAGAAATTTCTCCTCATCTCTGACCTAAAAAGCCTGCTCCTTATCCTTATGGCTGTGACCCCTGGTTCTAGACTCCCCGGTCAAAAAGATTCTTCCCACATCTACCCTGTCTAATCCTATTAGAATTTTATACGTTCAATGAGAATCACCCCCTCCCATTCTCCTAAACATCAGTGAATATAGTCCTAACCAATTCAGTCTCTCCCTGTATGTCAGTCCTGCTATCCCAGGAATTAGTCCTGAATAATGCTAACGGCAGACAGCAATCATTGTGATGCATATTGGGTGAAAAACTGCAAGGAGGGCAGGAATTGTGAAATGTGGGCTGGAGAAATTGATCAGTTTGTTTCTAGTCCAATGAGGAAGAAAGCTGTGCTGGATATAGATCTGGGATTGAAGTGGGTCAAATGGACTATGTTAATTCAGACAGTATTAATATCAACAAACCCAGTTCCAAATACCTCAGCCCCCTGCAGGACTTTGCCAGTGATCTCACTGAGCCAGGGGTGCACTGCAATGGGAAATTTAAATCACTGATCTCACTGTTGGGGCAGCACCAATGGTAAGAACCTCTAATTCTGAGGTACCAATAATCATTCCAGGAAGATCTTCAGGTCAGAGAAACTTGCAATAAATGACTGGCTTTCTTTTTCTTTTTGGTTGCAAAGTATAATGGCTGAAATGCGATGTATCCATTTTAAATCATACGTATTGATAGTTTGTAAATAAAAAAACTTTTGCTGGCGATTCTAAAAACTGCGTTCTAAACAACTGAGACTGGCACAGGCTATTCTGTACAAACTCATGGAGCACTTGCTACTACTTATCAAAAAGTTTCAGTCTAAAGCCTCCCCAAACTAAAAAAACGTACTTATCCTGTGCGAAAACAGAGCCAGTGAGACCATAAGGAGTGCTTGTATCAATCAAGTGGAGAATTTCCTGGTATTTGTTTTCAGGGTAAACATATACAGTCACGACTGGTCCAAAGATTTCCTGGAAGTAAATCATATTTCATAGTTATGCTCTTCCAGATAATTGCACAGCAGCAGAGACATGAGACCCATTTTGAAGTTGTACTGTGCAGAGGCATGACAGCTGCTACAGTCTACTGGTAAGAGGCCACAGCCATTTCTGTCATCACCACCACTACCTCCCCACCCTCACTCCACCCCCAGTCATATCAGCATATCTTAAAACAAGACTCTTGTCCGAGCATAAGAGAACTGAAAGTAGATTGGTTGTTCAGAACAGGATTCTAGACAGTAAGTAGCCACAATTCAAAATATGAGGGAGCAGTCTGCAGTAGTGAAGTGATTGGTGGGGGTGCAGGAAAGGGGGAAAAAAAAAGGGCAGCAATAATTGTGTTTGTGGAGGAAGCACAGCTCCTCCCCAAGGAAATAATTAGTGGCAGCTTTTCTTTGTGTAGTTTGTACCATGCAACACTCATTCAGCCTGGGAATAAACTGGCACTGGGTTCAAATGACATCATTGTGCCTCATGTTAGAATATTAATGAGGCTGACGCCTATCTGCAAACCTTGGGAATTAAAACATTGGAAAGCATCAATGCTACACAACTGTGGAGGTAATAATTCTGTCCTTGCCTGCACATAGACTTATTAAAAATCATGGGTTTTACAGAATTGCAAAGCAACCAAACCCACCCTACCCAGTGACAGGCAAAACTACATCCAAAACTATTTTAATTAACAATTCACATGGGACAATAAATGGGGAGACTGCAGATATTCTCAGAACCAGAATAAATGGGAATTTTCTCTCCGGGATATTTGTACAAATGTTTCTTCAATAAATGTTGATAAGTCTAAAATATATTCAATATGATCATATTGCACATGAGCATATTACTACAATATATGGACAAGGGTCCATGGGGCTTCTCAAATGTAATCAAATTAGACAGGCTCTATAATGTCATCTATTTGACTTTCTTTTGAAAATCACATATTTCCTCATTAACTGGCAGAAATTCTGTGGCAGATGACAATCTTACCTCTTTCATTATGGGATCCTGAGGATCTTTTGTCTCTATAATTGATGGTTCCACGAAATAACCAATTTTGTCATCACATTTTCCACCTGAAATTATTGTTAGATTTGGGGAGGACTGAGCATGTTCAATCCATTTCTTTATCCGTGCAAAGGACTGAGGAAGAAATTTACTATTAGCAGAAAAAAAATATTTTGCAGCAACACATAGGACAAAAACATGACTGGTGAAATCTCTAAATTACTAAGAATAAGGTATATTGCATGCCTAATAAAATATTTTACCTTGTTATCAATAACTGCTGAAAAGAACGTTTCAAAGTCATCCGCTGGCTAAAAGAGATAAAACATTATGGGAATACAAATTAGCATTACATTGCAACTTTGACTCAATACACAGTTTACAATTCATATCTTGTACAAGAAACATACATTTCAACATAATCCAGAAATTTGCAGACCTGCAAAGAAAAATAATTTTACAAATTTCTATACTGTACATGGTTTAAGCAGCTTGGGGAAGTTGGGGAGCAAATTAGATCATTACTCCTTACTTTTCCCAGCACTGTGTGATTAGATTATTGAGACCAATTGAATTATACTCTCCATTTCCGACGTATAAAGGGTTCAAAATTACTTGAATTTTTGGTTTTTTTTTTCACAATCTCAATGCCATTTCTAGCAATGACAACGTCAAACAGAAAGATTGCAAAATTACTAATGCGGGTATTGGGAATGCCATATCAGTGCACTGGAAATTTTTACATAAATTACTTTACATAAATTAAGCAGAACATACTGTTACTAAGACTACAGCTATCATTTGTATAGTGTCTTTAATATGAAAAGAAGTCCCAAGTGCATCACAGAGGCTGTAGGCATGGATGGGTGAATGGGGATTCACAGGAAGCCAGAGGCAGCATATCAATATAAAGTTGTTGTATAGAATTAACAGCACAGCAAGCCAATTTGATTCAGCAGGTGCTTTGTGATTCATATGAGAGTTCTATCACCTTACTTTTACCTAATTACGTCTGTACATTTTTCTGTTATGTGGAAAGGGAAGTTGTGTTGGGGATACAAACAGTTTACACAGACATTAAAAGGTTAAGTAAATTGGCAAAATGTTGGCAAATAGAATACAATGTGGAAATATGTGAAGTTGTTCATTTTATAAGGGAGAACAAAAGAATAGTATTATTTTAAAAACAGAGAGAGAACCTACAACACAAAGGGACTTGGGGGTAATTATGCATGAAACACAAAAAGCTAGCGCACAGGTGCAGCAGGTCATCAGGAACACCAGGAATGTTGGCAAAGGGGTCTCATGGCACAGTGGTAGTGTTCCTACTCCTTGACCAAGACATCTGGGTTCAAGATCCACCTGTTCCAGAGGTGTGTAATAACATCTCCGAACAGGTTGATTAGAAAAATAGGTTAAATAAAAAATTAGAATGTTGGCCCTTATAACAAAGAGTTTGGAGTGTAAGAGCAGGGAGGTCTTACTGCAAGTGTACAAGGTGCTGGTGAAATATCTGGAGTTCTGGGTGCAGTTTTGATCCCTTTATTTAAAGGAAAGATATTATTCAATTGGAGGCAATTTGGAGCAGGTTCACCAGGGTGATATGCAGTATGGAGGGGGCGAGGGTTGGTAGTGGGGGTGTTTTATGTGCAAAAGTTGAGCAATTTGGGACTACTCATTGGAATTTAGAAGAATAAGAGGTGATTTTTCAGAAACACGCAGCATTCTTAAGGGGTTTGACAGAGTAAATGCTGACAGGATGCTTACCTGCCTGAGTCATGATGAGTGCCAGTTTTGGACAAAGTCAAAAATCACACAACACAATTTCTAGAATACAGGAATGTACGGATGATTAAAAATTCAGCCAGCCATTTTGGGTTTGTTCACTCCACTCACACCAGTTGTATGATCCTTTGATCTCTCTGCCTATAAATTCTGTGTGCTCTCCTCTCACTGCACCTGACAAAGGGCTGCACTCCGAAAGCTTGTGATTTCAAATAAACCTGTTGGACTATAACCTCGTGTCGTGTGATTTTTGACTTTGTCTGCCGGAGTGCGCTTAGGACCAGAGGGCATTGTCTCAGGATAAAAAGGCACCAAGCTAAGACTGAGAGGAGGACAGATTTCTTCTTTCAGAGGATTGAGTGTTTGCAACTCCTAGCCACAGAGAGCTGCGAGTGCAGAGTCCTTCTGTATATTTAAAGCTGAGATAGACAGACAGATAGATACTTCATCTGTAGGGGAATGAAAGGTAACAGGAAAATGCACGAAAGTGGATATGAGGAATGTCAGATCCGCCATGATAGTACTGAATGGCGATGCAACTCAAGGGGCCAAATAGTCTACTTCTATTCTTATTTCTTATGGTCTTACTCTTTGTGATTATCTAGCTTCACCTTAAATGCATCCCTGACAAACTTGATTCAGCAGTAATTACTTTTAATGGGACAGAGAAGGTTAAAACGAGATTTAGTTGTCAACTGCAGCTTAGTGGTAATACTATTGGCTCTGATTCAGAAGGTCATGGGTTTAGTCCCATTTCAGAGATGTGTCCACAAAGATCAGAAATACATAAAAGGTTCCACATAATTATTTCAAAGAACAAAGTGAGGTTTCCCTAGTGCGCTGGCCAATATTATGCCTAAATCAACATTAAAATCTTCTCATTGATGTCTGTGGGATCTTGCTGCGGACAAACTGGATCATATACTTTCAAATGACAACATTGAATACTATTTAAAATCCTTAATTGGCTATAAAACTGAACAGTCATTCCAAAATCATGAAAGGCACTACAGAAATGCAAGATTTTTTTTGTTACTTTTAATGGAATGAATAGGAAAAGATTATTTTCTCTAATTACATGTTAAGTGTTGCAAGGTCATTTTGAAATTACCATAGTGAGGAGACAGAATAAGAGAAATTTCTTTCAAGTTGTTAAAACATGAAAAGCTTTGCACAGGGTCATGTTTAAGTACTGTATCTTTTGAGAAATAACTAAACAAATTACCAAAGGATTGCAAAATATTTCAGCACAGAAGCAGTCCAGTCAGCCCGACTGCTCCACGCCAGTGTTTATGCACACAAGACCAGAACCACGGCAACAGACATAGTCATTAATAAATACAAAAGGGAATTTTGGGAAAACTGCTTTACCCAGGGAGACAGACTTGCTACTACAGGGAGCGGTGAAAATTAACTGCATTAACGTATTCAAGTAGAAGCTAGATAAGCACAAGGGACAAAGGAATGGATGAATACGATTGGTGGAATTAGATATGAAGAGATGGGAGGAGACTGGGTGGTACCTAAACATTGCCATAAACCTGGGACTATGCCCACCATGGCCAATGAGTTCAAAGTTGGCAGAAGCTAAGATCATGGCAGCAAATTATTTGCCATTTTCTCACTAATTTCAAGCTACTATAACAGGTACATTTTGGTTGGGATGTCAGATTCCAAAGCTATTTTAACTTTGTGAGACAAGGTTTTGTCCTGGATCTGGTTTTGGTAGTGAACCCCAGCATCAAGGAACTGCACGTCCAGAAGGTATATAGAACAGTACTTTTAGTTTTAAGAGCAGGAAAAAAAATCAGGGGCTTCTCCTTCCCCAGCTTCATCAGCCCCAAAATGCCATCACGTAGTAACCTCCCTGACCCACCTATAGGTCCAGTCCTGGAGGACGACATTCCAGCTTCCCAAATGCTGTCAAGTGGGAGTGGATCGACTGCATTTAAATGAGGTCTAAGAATTAGTATGAATTAAATCCTTTTCTCATTTTGTAAGTTAAATTCCGAGCATTAGGTTTTGTCCTTGAAATTAAAGCATTTGTGTGTTTTCAAATAAATTTCCTGAAACTTATCCAAAAGCTACCTCATCTGAAGGTTCATCTTCAGCACGAGCAAGAGAAAGCTTCGAGTCAGGAGAAGTTGCTCCTGGTATAAATATATTATTTTGTGACATTTGCACATTCTGACAGTTGCATACGTAGTAGTTAGAAATAAGAAAGAGATTGAAATTGTAATGGAAATGGTATCAACTTTATTTAATTTATAGGATGACACTGATAGCCCCATATTAAGAATTTTATTGTACTTTACTGCTCCAAAGCTGGCCAGCTAGGATCTTTGAATTGGTTTTCATTGGGGTTACATATTCGTGAAGGATACTCGTTACTGTGTGGTAACTGGGGAATGCACGTGTGCTATCTACTTTACTACTGCTGTTGATCCCTAGACTGCAATCAGGTTCATCCTAAAGCACATCAGGAGACAGTAAAGCAGGTGTAACATCATGGGACTAGTAACCCAGAGACTGAGGCTACCACCCTGGGAACATAGGTTAAAATCATACCATGGCAACTGGCAGAATTTAAACTCAGTTAGTAAAACAGGAATATAAAGCTGTCTCAATAATGGGGTCCATAAGACTATTGTTGGTTATTGTAAAAACCCATCTGCTGCACCAATATCCTTTAGGGAAGGAAATCTACCTGTTTCCAAATGGCCTGCATGTAACTCCAGATCCACTGCAAAGTGCTGATATTTAACTGCCTAGTGACTTGGCCAAGCAAACCATTAGACTAAAGAGCAATCAAACAGGAGGCTTGAAGAAGACAGTCAGGGGATGGTTGGGAAAGTTATTTCAAATTGGAGAACTCAATGTTAAGTCCTCCAGGTTGTAGGGTGCCCAGGTGGAAGATAAGGTGTTGTTCTTCAAATGTGCGTTGCAAGTCGCTGTGCCACTGGAGGCGGCCAAAAGCGGACATGTCAGAGGGGGCATGGGCGGGGAGTTCAAATGGGTGGTGACGGGGAGGTTAGGTTGGCTTTTACAGGCCAGGTGAAGATGCTCAGGAAAACACGGGCACCTAGTCTACGTTTGGTCTCACCAACATACAGAAGACCACAATCGGCAGCCCTGGATGCAATAGACTAGGTTGGAGGAGATGCAGGTGAAGCTTTGTCTCAATTGGAAGAATTGTTTAGGGCCCTGAAAATGGAGGTGAAGGAGATAGTGCGGGGACAGGTGTTGCATCTTTTACGGTTACAAGGGAAGGTACCGGGCGGGTTGGAGTGGTTGGTGGGGAGTGTAACGTGAACAGTCTTTGCAGAAGGCAGAGAGGGGTGGGGATCTAACTGGAGTCAGCCGAAGTGTATGAGGATGATACGGTTGGATGCAGAGGCTGGTGGGGTGGAAAGTGAGGACGAGGGGGACCCTATCTTTATTATGTTTGGGGGTGGGGGGGACGGTGGTGGTGGTTAAGAGCTGTGGAGTGGGGAATGGTGGAGGGCAATCTGGATGACAGAGGGGGGAGAAGAGCATTGTTTGCAAAAGGCAGACATCCGGGATGCTTAGGCATGGAACGTCTCCTCGTCAGAGTAGACGCAATAGAGATGGAGGAATTAGGAAAACAGCATAGAGTTTTTGCAGGATACAGGGGGGAGGAAGTGTGGTCTAGGCAGCTATGGGCGTCTGTGGGTTTATAGTAAATGCCGGTCCGTAACTATCACCAGAAATGGAAACAGAGAGATCTAAAAAAGGGGAGGAAGGTGTCTGAGATAGACCAAGTGAATTTGAGGGCGGGCTGGAAGTTGTTAGCGAAGGTGACTAACTGCTCCAGTTCAGCCTGCGTGCAGGATGCAGCACCGATGCAGTCATCAACCTAATGGCCAAAGTTTTAGGGAACAGTACCAGTGTATGTACTGAAGAGGGACTGTTCGACATAACCTACGAACAGGCAGGTGTAGCTAGGGCCCACGTGACTGCCCATGGCAACCCTCCGGATTTGGAGAAAGGGGGAAGAATTGAAGGAAAAGTTATTGAGGGTGAGGACTAGTTCGGCAAGGTAGAGGAGGTATTGGTGGCGGGGGAGCTAGATGGATCTATTGTAGAGGAATAAAACGGAGGGCCTGTGGGCCATCCTTATGGAGTGTGGAGTGTATAGGGATTGAACATCCATAGCAAAGATGAAGCGCTGGGGGCCTGGGAATTGGAAGTTGCCAAAGAGGTGGAGGGTGTGGTTTGCATCCCGGATGTAAGTGGGGAGTGCCTGGACCAAGGGGGAGAGAACGGAGTCGAGGTAGGTTAAAAGAGGAGTTCGGTGGGGCAGGAGCATGCGGAGATGATGGGTAGTTGGGCTTGTGGATCTTGGGAAGCAGGTAGAACCGGGCACTATAAGGCTGGAGGCAGTGGAGGGGTGGTCATCGGAAGTGATAAGGTCATGCACAGTGTGGGAGACAGCGGCTTGATGGGCCATGGTGGGGTCGTGGTCAAGGGAGAGGTAGGACGTGGTGTCAGAGAGTTGGTGTTTGGCCTGTTAAGAGAGGAGGTCGGTGGGGCAGGAGCATGCTGCAGTGATGGGCAATTTGCCAACAACACCCACAAGAAAGAATACAGGAAAAAAATCAAAATTTAGCTCTTTAAATGGTACAAAGTATAGCTGTGTGATTTTGGTTTTAAATTACTGCAATATGTTTTTACGTGGAAGTTTTTACTGCTCTTAAAACAAAAACAAACAAACAAACAGTCTTAGCAGCCTACGATCAATAATTATTGTCGGTGCCAAGAACACACCAATTCAGTGTGCTCACGTTGCATCCCTATGTCACTTATTTTAATGCAAAGCATTCTTCCACTCACTTTAAATCAAGTTAACTGCTCATTTTCAAAAGAAAATTGCATGAAGGAATGATATGCAGGAATGTTAAGTATCTGTTTGCTTTTATCACCAACAGTAATTTATAGCCTTATGTTAGAAAATATTTGAAATATTCAGATCTAAAAGAGGAAAAGGCAGGTTAATGTTCAGGTATAACCCTTCAGCAAATGTCAATTCTACAGTGCTACTTCAACAATATTTACTACCCTCTGAAGCCAATTAAAAATAAGACTTTTATTCAAAATAGTTCATGTAATGCTGTAACATTATCGGGGTAGTATGAGAATGAGACAGGAAAGTTTACTGGAGTCAAATTCTTCAATACCAAGTCATTTTTTGTATTTTATGTAATCGGAAACCTTTCCAAGATGATATTAGTATTTGCCCTTGCAGATTTGGTGGAAAATGCATTCTCTACAGGCAAAGCGTCAGGAAAAGCCACAAGCCAAAGAATAGTGTTATAATTAAAATTTGTAATGATATCCCAGGTCACTTGGAGACAATAAATCTCTCTCTTTTAGTTTCCATCTTCTTTCAGCAAGTTTCGAATCTGTCTTTGTTAAAGAAACACATTTGTTCTTTAGGGTTTCTCTGCTGTAATAAAACTGAAGATATTTTGGGTATACCCAAATTCATGCTTATGTACCACTGAACTTTCAGTATATCTCCTTGTTTACAAATACCATCAGACCCATTCCTTTGTAAAGATTATCTGTCTTTGCTAGTTTTCTGCCTTGGTATTTATTAAATAAATTAATATGAAAAGATCCATGAATTCATATGTTTGATGATCAATGAGTCAACACCACTTCAAATATTAGTTTATTCATTTTGGAAGTTTCTACTACACCCAAAGATTCTTGCCTTTTGTTTTCTTCATCGTACTGGAGATGGCTGCTTATATTTTAGACAATTTTGCTGTAATAAATCTTACGAACACGGCAATGTTCCACAAGGATGTTCCAGTATCCAGAAATGATCACCAAATCTTTTTAGAAAAATTATCTGTTCCATTTGTAAAATTCCAACAATAAAGACAAACATGCAAGGAATCTCACAAGAGGGCAGAAAAACAAGAGCAGGAATGGGGGAAAACTGCTACGAGGTGACCTTAGAGCTAACTTTTGAAGCAAAAAATCTTTGAAGAGTGGAGGCACACAACTCAATAGAGGAATTCTGGTAGAGAATTCCAGAGTTCATAGGGATGATGGTTTAAATCTCAGAACTCAGCCAGTGGACTAGGGCAAAGCGGATGGAATTCACAGCAGTCTAGACCAAGGAAAACATTAAGGGAGATGGAAAATTGGGTGGGGGGCGGTTTCATAGATAGGGTGAAATGATGTGCAAACGATGGTACTGATTATGAAATGCCAGAAGTGCTGCCTCTTTCAATATTGTAGTTTTAGAAATAAACAGAAGCATATTATCTGCATCAACTTAGGGTACGACATATTCTCTCACTACTGTTGTTGTTTCAGATTCAAGATACATGAAAGCCATGAAATCCAAAAAGCACTTTAGCTTTGTCACATCGCCTTCAATCCAAAGGCTTAAGCACAAATTTAATTCACCTCGTCACTGCTCTTGATTTACCTCATAATACTATTTCCAGCTTTGGTACTATCCTGCCTTATGGACCCTGGCATTTCACCTAGGATTCTCAATAAAAGAACAAAAAAAATCAGGACAAGTGGTTTGAATTTTGTCTCAGTTTTACTTACATTTCCCACTTTAATTTTCTTCTGCTCCTCCAGGAGGTTTTTTTTAATTTCAGGCCACAATGAATCAGGTACATACATCCTTGAACAGGCTGAACATTTTTGCCCTCCATACTCAAAGGCAGAGCGAATAGTACCATTTACCACACTGCCAATATCAGCCGATTTATGCACAAAGTGAAAGTTCTTACCACCACATTCTGTAAAAATAAGAATTGTCCTTAGATATGCGGTTGCTTTGGAGACCTGCAAATGTGAGTGAGCAGCAGCTAAAGGTTAATAGATTGCCAGCAAGTGTGCTATAGACAGATGTAATCAAGGCTGTCAAAAGGGCACTTAATAATTAACTGAAGAGAGAAAATATGCAGGGCTAGTACAACTAGGGCAAAAGATCTGGCTGTGTGATGGAGCACAAGACAAATCTTTTGGTTACAGTTTGAAGGGGGTTCCAGTTTTAAATTTTGATTGATACAAATAAAGAGCACTTAAGGTGCAAGCTAGAAAAAGCACACAGCTGAAGTAGGAAAAAAAATAGGTCAAGGTTTTGATCCAAAGCCGTAGAGGTTCTTGATGTTTTGTTTTAAGCGCTGGGATGTTAACAATTTTTTGTCATTCACAGCAGATCGGTTAAAGCTTTCATAATTCATGTTTCCTGTGATGTTAGTTTTGACTTTTCAATTCAATCATTGTTCAAAATATTTTGGACTCTTAAACATTTGCCTTTGTACGAAAACAGTACATCAATAACAGGCTGTAGATTTTTTGGCCGTTATTATTCTTGTACACTGCTAAGGGATACTTAATGTAGTGCAAGAAGAGGTACACTTCAGATGGCTTGCAGCAATTAAGCCCAATAAACTACTGTCCCTGCTACATTATTCAAGTGAACATGTACATGCAAACAAAATTCCCTGCAATAAAATCTACCTTGGTAGGGAATTCTCCTGGTGTCAATGCTGTTTTGAAGTTCAATATCCATTACTTATTTTGGGATGAATACAACTTTCATTTGAAACAGCAAAAAGGACTTCAGAAACACCAAGAAGATACGTTCTGTGTAAAATATTTAGCTTATAGATGATGATGTAGAAATATTGTAAATGACAGAGATTATTACAGAACCACAGAACAGTTACAGCACATAAGGCAACAATTTGACTTGAATCCACATGCAACAGCAACTCAGCTAGTCTCACTTTATTCTCTTTTCTGCTAGCCCTGCACATTTTCTCTCTCCAGTTAATTATTCACTACTCTTTGGACGGCCTTGATGAAATCTGTCTCCACCACACTTTCTGGCAGTACGTTCCAGATCCTAACCGTTCACTGAATAAAAGCAGTTTTTCCTCATTTGCCTTTAGTTCTTTTACCACTGACCCAAATAACTGTCCCTTAGGTTTTGACTCTTTCAGTCTTACAAAGAGTTTCTCCCTATTTACTGTGTTTGGACTATGAGTTTTAACATCTTTATCTCAAATCTCCACAAAACCTTCTTGTTTCAATGGAAAACAGCTCCAGTTTCCCCAATCTATTTACAATATTTAAGTCCCTCATTCTTGGGAATATTCTTGAAAGCTTTTTCTGCCATCACACCCTTTCAAAAGCATGGGTGCCCAGAATTGAATGTAATACTTCCAATGAGCTCAAACCAATGACTTATAAGGTTCACCATAACCTCATGTTTGTACTCCATTTCTACTTAAGAAGTCCAAGTTCAACGTCACATCCATCACTTTCTTAATCTGCTATGCCACCTTCAACAAATGGTGCACATGAGCCCTCAGGTTTCACTGCTCCTCCACCTGCTTTAGAACTGTAACCTTTATTTTATTTTGCATTATCTCTCCTCATATTTCCTCCCAAAACAGGGTTCATTTGAGTTACAGAAAAGTATTCTTACCTCCAGACAGGCGAGGAAAGGTCCGGTATTTGTCCAGTTTCTGAGACACCAGCTTCCAAAGATGTTTAAATGTTCTAGAGAAGGTGAAATAGCTAACTGATATAGATGTATCTTTCAAGCTTTAACAATATTTTTAAGTAATAAACAATTTTCTGAAGAAGGGTCACCGGACCTGAAACATTAACTCTGATTTTTCTCCACAGATGCTGCCAGACCTGCTGAGATTTTCCAGCAACTTGTTTTTGTTACAATCTTCAATTTGTCACAAATCATTCACTCCCTGTAAATAATCTTAAGTAC